ATTTCGGCCTTGGCAACTGAGGTTGCGACTCTGGGGTTACTTTGCGGATTAGGGCTTGGGGTTTAGGGTTTAGGGTTTAGGGTTTAGGGTTTAGGGGTTTAAAGTTTAGGGTTTAGGGTTTATAGGGTTTAGGGATACATCGCTTAGGGATGTTTTTGTTTTAAAGCACCCTTTTTTCCCTCCGCTTAGTGGAGTCCGGAGCTTCCAAAGCAGCGGAGACGTACTTAGGGTCGAGGGTTTAGGGCTTAGAGTTTGGGGTTTAGGGTTTCAGGGATTCAGGGTTTCAGGATTTCAGGGTTTAGGGTTTCGGGTTTCGGGTTTAGGGCTTAGGGCTTAGAGTTTCGGGTTTAGGGTTTCAGGGTTTACCAATACTATTTTGGGGGTTCCTTATTATAATCATACTATAATGGGCCCCAAAAAACTATTCCAATTGTTTTAAGGTCCCTAGAATTTCGGGTCTAGGGTTTCAGGGTTTTGGAGGTTCACGGGCTTTAGTGCTAGGGGTCCTTGGTAAAAACCCTTAAACCCCTTCTCTCTCTATGGGCCTTTACGTTAGGGTCCCTAGCAGAATGCCTTAAAGCTCCGTTTCTTTAAGCGCCTTACCTGTTCTACTCACTTTTCAGGTAGGGGGGTTGCTAATCAGGGTCTACGTGAATAGGAGGTGTCGAAGGTTACTGGGTTCAAAGGTCAACTGCTCGCCCCACATATAGGAGGTAGGATAAGGGAGACCCATTGGGGATATAGACCCTCTCAATAAGGTCCCGTTTAAGAGAGCCATAAGCAGGGTTCAGAAGGGTCTCTCCCTAGTACTACCTAGGAGAATAAAGGCCGACACCCAGTTTTCCGAGTTGACGATTTCGTCACAAAGCGCGCGGAGGGAGCACTCACTCAGACTTTCGTCGGCAGAATCGCGGAGGCGACCTCGCACTTGTGGGCTGATTGGAAGGCTGTCAACTTGGGCAGTTCTCTAAAGTAGGGTGCCTGTTTAGATCCCCCAGAATAATACGGCACCCTAATAAAAAGGACCCCAAAAGGGACCCGAATTTAGAGAACTTGAACTACCCACTTATAGAGCGAAACCGCAAAGTCCAAAATGTAGCGGTCGTGTCACCTTGCATCCCTGAGCTCTCGGACATCAAACGAAGACGAAGAAACTGAGGATCCCAGAGACTCCAATATCCCTTAATTAAGGAATATACCTTAACTCATATTAAGGATCCTACTACAATTTATGGAATATCCCTTAATTCAGGAATATACCTTAAGTCATATTAAGGATCCTACTATATTTTAAGGAATATTCCTTAACTCATATTAAGGATCCTACTATAAGTTAAGGAATATTCCTTTATTAAGGGATATTGGAGTCTCTGGGATGGAGGCAAGACGACTGGGTTCGGGAGTCATGGGTTTATGGTTCAGGGCTCAGAGATGTGTATAAGACTCAAGAGATACGGCTGTTCCTACTCCCCCTTGGCAGCGCAGATTGCCACTTTCATCGAAAAGATACGAAATCTGCAGTTTGCTTCCCCAATGCGTAGAGAGGGTAAGGGTACGCCGAGAGTGCTCGCTTGCTGGATCCGGCTTCCCAGCTGGATTTTTAGAACATCCTTTGATTGGTTTTTGGGAACAAACAACCAAAAGACGAGCATTTCCAACAACCTCGCGAGTGGTAGTAGTAGTTGCTCTCAACCTGTCCCCAATAACCAGAAATACCAGAACCCTAAACCCTAAACCCTAAACCGAGTAGCTTGCACTTTGGGTCAGGACACGACCTTGTCCTGCTTTCCCCAACAAAGACTGCACAACCCTGCTCAAACCCTGAAACCCCAATAACAGGCTCATAAACGCGGATCTGCAGAAAGGGAGTTGAATGACGGGAGTTGTCGATTTGGTATAGACGGCTTGGACGGTGCAGAATATAAACTAGTAAAATAGTAAAAGTAGTTGTGGGCCAAGGACAGACTGACCCTAACCCTAAACCCCAAGCCCTAAACCCTACTAAATGTTCAGACACCTAGGTCCAATGTCACATGCAGCACCCATCGTGCTTCCGTAACCAAGGCGAAGATCGAATCCAAAGTCGGAATTCCGAAACACAAAGGCCCGACGACACCTTCTTGGGCGAGCTTGAAACCATGCCGAAAGCTCCCTTCGACCGACCTCCAAGTGAGGAAACCGCAGGTCAGCAACGACATGGATGTGCAAGAACCATGTTCGGATCACACAGATCGAAAACAGCAGGCAGCTTTTCTGGAGCGCTTCCCTGTACGACCCCACTGAAGCTAATAAGCACCTCCTGCTGGATGGGACTCGCATGCTCCAACTCCGCACCCGGACCCTTGCCGTCTGTCCGTCTAGTTGTAGCGTGGCTTGCTTTCTTGATCTGTGTTCTTGCTGTCGTCACGGTGTCGACCAGCACCAGCAAGAGCAGCAAGATAATCTACATCGCCATATAAAGACTACATGTTGGCGTTGAGACTGCTACTAGTTGCTAGGTGCAAGCATCCTTGAACAAAAACGTCGATGTTCACCTTCCGTTGTGATCTTCATGGTAGCTGAACCCCCGGCATTGCAACACCATCCTCATCCTGGTCCACGTCGTCATCATCACTACCAGCACCGCCATCATCACCACCATCGTGATCATCAGGATAACAGTATTGAATGTCATCACTGCCTGCTACTATCTGTTTTGTCACAGTATTAAGTTACGGTTAGAAGTTTAGAAAGTCTTAGTACCTTTATGATTACTGTTATGGCTAACACGACTACTACGACTACTATTTCTAGGCACAAGGCGGATCGTTTGCCC